AAGGAACTTGGTTTGGGTTAGCCATAATAAGGAAATCACATCATGTGCTGGAAACCCCCGTTCTTGCAGCTTCTGCTCTTAACAGAACCCAGTCTGCAGAGAGGGCTTTGGGTTTGGGGTTTGAGGTTGGGGACTTAGGGCTTAGGGTTTAGGATTATTGGGTTTGGGGTTTAGGGTTCAGAGTTTAGGACTATTGGGTTTGGGGTTTACAGGTAGGGTTTAGCGCTTAGGGTTTAGGGTTTAGGATTCTTGGGTTTGGGGTTTAGGGTTTCAGCACTCACTCTCGGACTTGCCTAGGCGAGGTTGCTGGTACCGGGCGAAAGCTCTTTGGCTGGGGTCGACACGTATCACCGGCCCTGAAAAGGGTTTAGGCGTTTAGGACTATTGGGTTTGTGGTAGGATTAAGCGCTTAGGGTTTAGGGTTTAGGATTTTTGGGTTTGGGGTTTAGGGTTCAGGGTTTAGGACTATTGGGTTTGGGGTTTACAGGTAGGGTTTAGCGCTGAGGGTTTAGGATTATTGGGCTTGGGGCTCACAGGTAGACAGGGATATCAAAGCTCAAGTCCTTGCTCGACTTGCGAACCGTCTTTGTGAGGAAAGTCCGGAAGCGGGAGCGAACTTCTGGGTGGTGAAGTCGGTGTGCACCACAGCGACTGTCACCACACTCGCTCCTCATGTTTCATGATGTGATGTAAGCTCTGCTGCGGTGAGAAAGCCTAAACCGTGAACCTAAATCCAACTCATTTCTCCACCTGCACTTGTTGCATGCTCGCCTGCTAAACCTGAACCCTGAAACCTGAAGACAAAATTCTACAGTGCAGCTCTTCGAGCTTCCTCTGTGTTTGGACACTTTTAACACGTGACCTCCGGCAGCATCATCTCCACTGAAGCCACCTAGGCCCTAAACCCAAATTCATACTTCTCCAAACCCCAAACACCCCTAAACCCGAACCGTGCCCCAACCTCAAACCCTAACCTCAAACCGTATACCCGATCCCTACCCCAGAAACCCTAAACCCGAGCGCCACAGTCTACAGTTACAACAGCCGCCAAGGAGCAGCACGTGGATAGGAGATTGGGGATCTGAATGCCGCACGCGGCTGTAGGCATCTGTCATAAATTTCCTCGGTGTTTCGTAAAAGTTTGAGACCCCAAAGGATTCAAGCAACAGTACAGTATGTACATCTGGAGCCCAAATACCGATTAAACGCCTACTATCTTGATGCTTGGACCCCTTGGGGATGGGGATTAGGGTTTAGGGTTTAGGGTTTAGGGTTTAGGGTTTAGGGTTTAGGGCCAACAGTTTGGGGCTTGAAGATGTGGGAGTTTCCGAAGACAAGGGGTACCTTATTCTGGGTACCATCTAAAAGGGATCCTACTTTTTAGGGTACTATAATAGGGTCCCCTATGTTCGGAAACACTGTCGGGCTCTCAGGAATTCGCGGTTGAGGGGGTTGAAGTCGGTCTAAGGATGTAATTTTTGGGGCCTTAAGAATTCGAACAGGGTTTTGGGGCCCATTATACTATAAGTATAATCAGGAAACCCACAATAACATAAGTAATTCTTTAGGCCTCTAACATTAGGGGGCTTTTCAGGGTGCTGGGTTTCTCTGGTTTAAGGCTTAGGGGCTTAGTTCAGAGGTTCAAGTGTTGAGGTTTCGGCTCACACTCGGACACTCCAGGCGAGGCAGAGGGTTGAGGTTTAGGGGGCCTAGGACTTTCACATGGGTAGTTCTCAAAATTATGGTCCCTTTTGGGGTATCCTAAATAATTGGTGCCGTAGTATAATAAGGACCCAAAAGCGGACCATAATTTTGACAACCACCCACATGTAGGACTAAGGGTCCGAGGCTCAAGCTTATAGTGTAACTAACGGTTTAGGGTTTAGGGTTTAGGGTTTAGGGTTTAGGGTTTCGGGTTTAGGGTTTAGGGTTTAGGGTTTAGGGTTACAGTTGTAGGTTACCTCGTTCCTGTGCACTTCTGCCAGACGGGCAAAGTGGGCGGGGTCCCACACGCCACAACCAAAACCTGTTTCGTCTCTCTGTTAGTTCGGAACCGGGCAGAGCAAAATACACGAATACCAGTAGCAGTGATCTTAACAAAAAGCTTTAATTATTGGTAATTCCTCTTGATTCCGACCTTTCAGCGCAAGCTCCACCGCACTCAAGCTCAAGAGCAAGCCCTAAGGCACTCAAGCCCTACACCTTGTGAAGAACTCGGAACTCAGAAGTAGTTGCGGCCCGGTTTCATGGGCGTCTTGCCGCGGAGTGCTCTGGAAAGTGCACGGACTTGTCTTGAGTCCATAGCCAGAGGATTTCCTGAAAGCATAGGGCTTTGTCTAAACTTCAGGATGCGGAGTTGTTTAGACTCCAGGTTTTGGGGTGTGCTCACTGTGTCGAGGGTTTAGAGGCTGCATGTTTACAACTTAAGAGTGTAGGGCCTCAGCGGATGTAGAAGGCTTCATTAGAACTTTAGGGCTGTAAGTTTGGTCATCTATGGCTTATCGGGAGTGGCCCTGCAAGCCTAGCTACCTGTCTAAAAACCCTTAAACCCTAAACCTGAACCCTCATTAATTAAACCTGACACCCTATACCCCAAACCCTGCACCCAGGCTCCAGGTTACTGGGCTTCTAGGCTAGCACCAGAAACTCGACGGGCTTTTCCCCGGTGTTGGGTAGCGCGTATTATAATAATATTAGAATCTAGGGCATAGTGTATATTGCTACTCTAAACAGTATAAGTCACCTTAAACAGTTGCAACACTAATTACCAAGGTGTAGTTTGTATGGAGGAAGCTTCAAGCAGAGATCGGAAGTCTTTTTGGCTTATGTTCAATAACCGGTACCTACAAACACTGTGGATTTTGCTAAGCAGGTGATTCATGAAGCTTCTGTGTTCCTGCAGCACACCACTCAAGGCTCCACGCCTACGCACCTCCATATAGGCTCCTTGGTATATTGACATTGACAACTACATCATGTAGAACAAAGTCGTATGAAAATCTCAACAACCCTAGGAACTTCTCGGACTCACGAGAAGGATCCGGTCTACACCAGCCCCACTACGTGTGCCTGTTCGAGATTTTGGGTTTAGGACTTGGAAAATCTGGGCTTCGTCTTTCCGCTTGTCTTTCAATTCGGTCCGAAGGCAGAGTATGATGGGGTAACATGCAAATTCGAGTCAATCACGTGGGCCGGGGTGCTCAGGTCTCCGACTTCCCTTACGATATGGGGGTCTCCGAAAAGAGGGGACCCTAATATTGTACCCCGAATAGTAGGATCCCTATAAAAAGGACCCCAAAACAAGGTACCCCCTGTTTTCGGAAACCCCCATGTGGCGCCCATGGCGGGCCCAGCTGGACTGCTAAGCCTCAAGCGGCACAGTGGTCTTATGACTATCACTGTGCAGCAGAGGCTCCGGTAAACTCCACATACCTGCCAGAGTGGAGGCTGCGTTCAAATCACTTCGTTTGAGGCTCAGGACTCGTTTGCTTCGACCCTGAACCAGTGGGTTTAGGGCTTAGGGTTTAGGGCTTAAGGTTTAGGGTCCCTAAACCCTGAAGCCTAACTTCTCGTTGCTTTGCACAGCGACTAGAACCTCACATGGGAGTTTCAGCATGTGGGGGGGGGGGACCTTAAATTAGAACCATCAATGACCGGACCCTGGATACGAGTAACCGCACATAATATGTATATATAAATATGTATATATATATATACACACACACATATATTTATGTTTATATCTATAGTGATATTATATATTTATAGGGCCTGTTTTCCGAAATCTGCACATCGGACCAACGTTTGCTAGAGGCTAGGGTTGAGGGATCGTGCTAGGGCTTATGATTTTTGGGCTAGGGTTACGCAGTGTTCAGAGTAGAGTCAATTAGATATTCGGCATTCGTTCCGTTTTTGCCTAGTCGATGCTGCAGCTCCAAGCACTGGTCGACGGGCGATACATGCACATAACCAGTGAGCAGGCTGCCTCATGCATCTCGATACTCCATAGAAACAAGAATGCAAAACCAGGTATGCCAGGTATGCGTATAGAACTGTATACATACACATTGGTTGACATAAACCTTGAAAAGCACATAGACCTGCACAAACACGTAATACTGCATATGTCTAGGCCCAAGCACCGTAGACAAGGA